GTGTTACGTGTTATGTGTTTCAGGTACTTCCGAGGATCGCGGGAAGGCCCCGACTTGATTGTGCACACACATTCGTATTGGAGATATGTTTTTGGAGGATCCTGGATTTGTGATAAAAAAAAATTTTAAAAAAATGTGTTAATGTTTGATACTTGAGATTTTTGAGAAATGTGACATGTGTTATTATGTGTTTGAAAATGAAAATCTTGATTTGAAAGTTTACGTCGTTACAATACAATATTGAGTAGCCAAATAAAATACAATAGCCAAATAATAAAAAAGAAATATTTTATATGGAATAAGGGTGGCAAGGATAAACCAAAACCTTGTGATACGTTGGTTAGAAGTTATGTCAAGAGGAAACCAAATTCAAACAAGATAATTATTGGGTGCACAATAAATATTATATTTAAAAATGTTTATGGAACAACTGATTACAAAGTTAAGGAATTCTTTGAATTACACAACCACCCACTCGAAAGTATTGGTGATAGATCTTATATGAAAAAGACAAGAAATATGTCATATTCTGAAAAAGAGTTTGTGCTACACGCATCAACAACTAAAATTGGGCCAACGATGACTCACAAAATTAGAGCAATTTTGAAAGGTGGATATGAATATGTGGGGGCGAAGGTAACAGACTATAAAAACTTGAGGAGATGAGTAATTAAAATCTTATGCTACAAGGATGCTCAGATAATGAAACAAAATGAATGATCGTAGAGATATGTATCTAAATTATTCATTTGTTCCTATGTGGTGAAGATCAGTTGGCTGCTATGTTTTTGGCAGATGAAACAGAAAAGACATTTTGCACAGAGTTTGGAGAAGTTATATCTTTTGATGCAACTTTTAGAACAAACAAGTAAGTTAATATATACACTTTAAAATTTTATTCATTTATGATTAAACTAAAACAATTATACAATTAAATTTAAACATACTGTTAATCAAATATGATTGTACTAAACACATTTTCTTTATATATGTATAAAATGGTATTTGTTCCATTCACAAGATTTGACCACCATAAGATATCAGTTACTGTTGGCGCTGGTTTGCTTAGTAAATAGACAATTGAGTCCAAATAAGTATATAATTAATAATATATGATTATCCATATATGATATATCCATCATTGGAGACGTCCGCTTCAAATCTGCAACTGGATGAAAAAAATAGCACTTCTCTGTTGTAGTTAAAAAGAAAACCCAACCGTACAATCACCACTGTGAATCGGAACCGGATCGCCTTTGTGTTTGGTCATTTGGGATTCCATTTTCATAGATCGTCGATGATCTAGTCAAGAAACAATCAAGATGATTGTCTTTTTTTACTGATGTTGGAGGATGTTACAGGGACACCAACGATCTGGAGGTCCGACGATGGTCAACTTAGGATGATGACGACGGTGTCGGTGATGGTGGTCCAAAGGTTTAGGTATGTAGGGTATGTAAACGAGACGGAGGTGGAGAGAGATACGTAGGGCGGGACCATTTTATTTAACCTTATTTCTAAATTAAGAACAATAAATAAATAATAAAAAACTGAGAAAATATAGGTAAGAGTAATTTAGTCTTTTTCAAATCCAGAAAGGACTAAAATCGTAACAAAATCAAATTATAAGGACGATCCGAATGAAAAATAATCCAAAAAACTAAACATCAATTTCAAATAAAGCATACCGGACATTTTCATTAATTTACTCAAAAATATTAAAGCATACCGGACATTTTCATTAATTTACTCAAAAATAAATCGTTGGCCAAGTTTACGTGCCAAGATCAGGATGAAGTTGGGGGACGGTGATCGCTGACACCACCTCAACTCTTATCCAAAAAACTTAAAAAGGATCATGATTTTCCTGTAACAGATCACAATTTCATAATGTTAATTCGAAGGTTCCAATTCCAGTAAATATTATATATGAGTTGGTTTTAAGGCGAAATCAAATCACAATATCGCCATAACGATAATTCGAGGGTTTCGATTCCAGCCCGCTACCCGTTGATGGTCCTTATTTCTCTCGATTCTTGTGCAATGGTGTCCTATGTTTGCGAAACCCGCGAAGTGGAGTTCAACAGGCGGCAATCCCTCGGTTGAATACTTGAATCAACAGCAAACCCCACTGTATTCAAAACCCTAACTCCATCCACCGTTTCTCTTCCTCCCGTATAAAAAAATTATTTTTTCTTTTTTCTCCCGAGTCTCAATAATTAGCTTTTTATTGATGGCGACAACGATTACAGCGAATGAGAATCTTGTTGAGGCCAAAGATGATGGTGAAATCGATGACAGGGTTATGGATGTCGCGGTTGCTGTTGGTGATCAGGAACGATGTCGTGTTGGTGTTCATGTTGACGGTGTACCTTCGTCTTCGTCTTTGCCTTCCCTTCGTACTCTGCCTATCAATCACGAAAAAGTAGTAGAAACTAATATTATGTCTTCATGTTCGGCGACAACAATTACAAAGAATGAGAATCTTGTTGAGGCCAAGGATAATGGTGAAATCAACGACTTGTTGATGGATGTTGATGTCCCTGTTGATGATCACGGACGATGTCGTGCTGATGTTAATGTTGGCGGTCTACCTTCATCTTTGCCTTCTACTCACACTCTGTCTCGCAATCACGAAAAAGTAGAACTTAATATTATCTCTTCATCTAGTAATGTCGTACGTAGCACGAAGGAACTAGTGGCTGAAGAGAACAAAAACCAGGAACCAAAAGAGGAACGATATGCTTCCATTAATCGTGATCGGGGTGAAGAACAGAATAGGTTTTGTGAATATGAAGCAGAGGGGAAGGAGGGTGTTCAGAAGAACATAGGTAAGAAAAGAGTTCGGGAAGATGACAACAAGAACACTGATACGGCTATTAAATCCCCAGAGAAGAAGAATAAACCACTTTACAAGTTGTGTGTTTCTACAAAAGAAGAAAGGAAGATGACGAGTGGTGTTGTGAAGTCAAGTGATGATGATAACAAGTCCCCAGAAGAAACAGAAGAAGTTATGGTTGATGCTCAAACTATTCTTCCTACTCCTGATGGAGAGGGGAACGCTACCAATGAAGTAACAAACAACAAAGAGGACAATAAAGAGAGTGGGAGATCTAAAAGAAGTACTAGGAACGATGATATTAATTATGCTCAGATTTTTAATTATGATGTTGTTGAAGAGGATGCACGGAAGAAGAAACACCTGCAATCGGTTTCAAAGAAAGAAAAGATGAGTGTAGAGAAACAATACAAGAGAATACAGAAGAAACACCAGCTGTCTGCTTCTAGGAAAGAAAGTACGAGTGAAGGGGAACAAGATAAGAGAAACCAGAAGAAACAACAGTCCAAGAAAGAAAAGATGGATGAAGAGCAACATGATAAGAGAATCCAGAAGAAACAACAGCTTCCTGCTTCTAAGAAAGAAAAGATGGATGAAGAGGAAAAAGATAAGAGAATCCAGAAGAAACAACAGCTTCCTACATCGAAGATAGAAAAGATGGATGAAGAGGAAAAAGATAAGAGAATCCAGAGGAAACAACAGCTTCCTGCTTCTAAGAAAGAAAAGATGGATGAAGAGGAACAAAATAAGAGAATCCAGAGGAAACAACAACTTCCTGCTTCTAAGATAGAAAAGATGGATGAAGAGGAACGTGATAAAAAAATCCAAAGGAAACAACTTCCTGCTTCTAAGATAGAAAAGATGGATGAAGAGGAACTAAATAAGAGAATCCAGAGGAAACAACTTCCTGCTTCTAAGATAGAAAAGATGGATGAAGAGGAACGTGATAAAAAAATCCAGAAGAAACAACAGCTTCCTGCTCGGACGAAACAACCACAGTTGACTCCAAAGAAAGAAAAGATTGGTGAAGAGGAACGAAATAAGAGAAGCCAGAAAGCTTCCAGCTCAAGCAGGAAAGAAGATGACCCAAAGCCAAAGCTGTATGCCAAGAATTGGGGTCTAGATGAAAATGTATATTCTGTGTCCCAGGCTTCTCTACTTTTTATCTAAAGAAGTCTGCTTGTCTGCTCTTGCACATACTTGATCAAATATTATCTTTTTCTTTTCTATCCATTGGTAGGGAAAACGAGTTAAGGTAGTGTCAGACATGTGCCATCAGTGCCAAAGGAATGACAAGGGCCGAGTTGTTCGATGTCAAAAATGTACTACAAAGCGTTACTGTGTGCCTTGCATGACCACATGGTATGAGCTTTTACAACTTTTTCTTCTTTTTTAGCTGAATAACTCAATTGAAGCCTGTTTTGCAAGGTTCAGTCTAGTTTATTACATAATTTTTACCCTTCTCACTTGCCTCATTGTTTTTAACTTACTTTTTGTTGGTGCAATGAGTAGCCAAAATTGACCTTTGTTTGTGATTTAGTTGGTTGAGTTTGTAGCATATGCCTTCCATAGCCTACTAACTTGATGCCTGATAGTAAATTTTTTCCTTTCAAGCTGATGGTTGAAGAATAGCAGTCGATCCTTTTGTCCAAATTTTCATAAGCTCTCACATGATTCTCATGAGGTACTATGATGCTTACTGGTCATATACCCTGTTGCATATGATCAGTTGGTTATTCATATGTAGACTCTGTCATTGCCTCATTGGTGCACGTGTGCTTGGAACCATCTATATTGCCTTAAAAGTTTGGTGCTATTTCTTGGAATTTGCTGTTCTTTTACAATCTTTTCTTCTTATGCTCTTTGTTTACTCTGTTCTGTAGGTACCCTAACATGACAGAGAAGATGTTTGCTGAGTGTTGTCCTGTTTGCTGTGACAATTGCAACTGTAAACGTTGTTTGCGTGATGTGCACCCTAAAGTTAGTTCCTGCAGCTTATCTTTTGTTATGGAACTTATTTCTGTTCTTTCTCTTACGCAAAAAAGAAATACTGTACTGAATCCATTTGATGGTTTTTAGGTCAAAGAGAAGATTGATTTTAAACCTAATGAGGTTCAGAGAGTTCGGTATTCTGTTTATATCCTACATGTGCTTTTTCCATTCTTGAAGCGTCTCAATAAGGAGTTCATGAAGGAGAGAGCAATGGAGTCTAAGATTCAAGGTGTGTTTTTTTTATAATTTATCTCAGTGTTCCTATTGTGTTTTGAAGATACAACTCCAAGCTCACATTGTAGCTAATTAAAATCAGTACTGCCTCATATATGATTCATGAATAATGATGATGACTTTTATGTATCTATAAAAAGAGGTATGGATATATTGATTTCATCCCTTAGACACTAGGAAATGCAAGAAAATCATTTTTCTGCTTAACTTCTTAGTCTGAACTCTTGTTGTTGATCATGATAACTTGATTTTTTTTTTCGATGATCTTATAATGGATGACAAACTTTAATCTTGTTGCTAGTTGCTCGTGTCGCATAACTGCATGCGAACAAAGAATCATCCACTGTTCTTTATATATTTTTTTTCTGTTTGGCTTGGTGCATATATGTTTTGTGAAGGATGTTGCATCTTTACAGCTAGTTCTTGGTTTCTTTTCGAAATGGAACATGCTTTCTTGTTGATTCTTCTTAGTCAACTGTTTGTTCTTGGTTTGATGGTGTGTTGGTGTGAGTTTGTACACTCAAATGGTGGTTTGAATGGATAATTGTCAATCAGCCATATTTATTGTAGGTTTCCATAAATTTATCTTCCTGGGCAGGGTGTTCTTTGTCAGAGGTACATTTGAAGAAGGCAAAGTGCAGTCCAGATGAGCGCATGTACTGGTATGTCATTTCAATGATTGCACAAACGTTTTAAGGATTTGGATTTATAATGATTTCCTATTTTGGCTGTCCCATGATGTATGCAGTGACTGCTGTAAAACATCAATTTTTGACTTGCATAGAAGCTGCCCTTCTTGTCAATATGACCTCTGCCTTCAATGTTGCTGGGAATTGCGAGATGGCAATCTTCAAGGAAACAAGGAAAAAGTTATCATTGAATTTAAAGATCCAGGTTATGATTACTTGCATGGGGGGAAGGATATGTATGACAAGCGTAAGCAAAACAGGGAAACAAGGAACGCAGCCCGTTTTGTTGAGAAGGCTGCACCAAAGGAAAAGCAAAGTGATGAATGGAAGTCTATGGATGATGGCAGAATTCCTTGTCCTCCAGAAACTATGGGTGGTTGTGGTCATGGGATTTTAGAGTTGATGCACATAAAGCCACTTAACACCGTTTCAAATTTGTTGGAGAAAGCACAAAGGCTCTTAAAGATGCACAGGCTGAAGGGAGATATGCGTGAGATGCCTGAGGAATGGTGCACATGTTCAGATTTCAAGAACAAAAGCGATGGTCAGTTACGAAAAGCTGCTTCCCGTGAAAATTCCAATGACAACTACTTGTATTGTCCACGTGCAATAGACATAAAATCTGGAGATTTGAAGCATTTCCAGTGGCATTGGTCAAAAGGGGAGCCAGTAATAGTGAGTAATGTTCTTGAAACTACACTTGGGTTGAGCTGGGAACCCATGGTTATGTGGCGTGCTTTTCGCCAGATGACAAATACCAAACATGATAAGCTCTTGGATGTGTCTGCTCTCAATTGTTTGGATTGGTGTGAGGTATGTTTAAGTATTTCTTTTTGGGCTAAATGCAAGAAGTAGCTACATACTTTCATAGTTTCATTAATCTGTTTATTATGCATCATATATTTATATTTTCTATTACAGCATTGTACTTACAGTTTTTCGTTTTAAGCCATTGTAGTTGGAAAGTTTACCCAGTTATGACTTCGTACTTTCAATCTTTTCTTACTAGAACATTCTACAGTAAAAAGTAAAACTCTATGCAGTTATAGCAGTGAAAGTTGCTTGAATTTGGATGATATGGCTATAATTGTGTAGATTTTTCAAACTACAATGCTGTAATAGGAAGAAAAAATAGGATGGTTTAATAAACAAATCAATGAAACGATGTTGCTAATTTTTGCATCTAACCATGTTTTCTATCTTACATTGGTTTTTATATTATTAGAATGTGTACGGTTCATACAAGCTTGGGAATATCTCTCAATATTTTTAACATTTTTCTTTCAACACTTTTAACAAAGTTTAATCGATTTTGTATGTTATTTTATAAATCGTCTGCCTTCCAAGTCAATGGTATTTTGGGGTAAATACAGTATGCCCAAATGCCTAACCAATTTTTCTCATGACATGCAGGTTGATATAAATGTTCATCACTTTTTTATTTCGTATACGGAAGGTCAATTCGATTCTGAAGGGTGGCCACAGATCCTAAAGTTGAAAGACTGGCCTCCATCAAGTTTATTTGAAGAACGGTTGCCACGTCATGGTGTTGAATTTATCACTTCTTTACCCTTTAAAGAGTACACACATCCACGTGATGGATACCTTAATCTTGCAGTGAAGTTGCCTAAAGAATCTTGTAAGCCAGACATGGGTCCTAAAACATATATAGCTTATGGTGTTTCTCAAGAATTGGGACGTGGAGACTCTGTTACTAAACTTCACTGTGACATGTCTGATGCAGTATGCTTTCTCTATTTGGCTATGCCAAATTCTTTTGCTTGAAATTTCCCGTTCTGATTTTAGGCAGTTACAAGATCATTAGTGTTGGATTTGGTTTATTAGGTGTCATCTTTTTTCTTTCGGTTATTGAAGTTGGCATTTGAGTTTGTTTGAGAGGAAAGTGGTTTGCTATTCTTTTCAATCTATTTTGCAGGTGAATGTGTTGACTCATACTGCAACTGTGACCCCCAACTCTGAACATCGTAATTCGATAGAACGTCTGAAAAGGCAGCACAAAGCTCAAGATGAGAGGGAACTTTTTGGATTGGTAGGGAAGACACAGCCTGATGTTGATAACTTGGAAGATGTTACATCTCGAAAAGGGATGCTAGGCAACGATTGTCTTGAATCTAAAGTTGAAAGAAAATTGTGTGATGACAATGTTGGAGAAACAAGCGACCATGTTTACACTAGACGCAAGTTTAAAAGTGTGAATGGAACAGGTCCTTGTTATGTAACAACTAATTGTGATCAATCAGATGAGTCTGACAGTGATAGAAAAGTTAGGAGGAGAAAGGCTTCCACTAAAAAAGTTGATGGACAAAATGGAAATAAAGGATCTAAAAGGAAGGGCAGGAAACAAGTGATATCTTCTGATAGTGAAGAAGGTGATAACCAGTGTGATAGTTGTGTGGATGGATTTGATTTGGGAGATGGAGGTGCTCTGTGGGACATATTTAGGAGAGAAGATTCGCCTAAACTGGAGAAATATCTCAAAAAACATTTCAAAGAGTTTAGACATATCTTTTGTCGACCAGTGGAGCAGGTAGTCCTTACTTTTAGTTGAAATTCATTCATGTGTAGCATTACATTCCTTTTTCCTAAATAGTAATTTCTCAAACTGTTGTATTGTATCTTTTTGGTCCAGGTTATCCACCCAATTCATGATCAAACATTTTACTTAACCATGGACCATAAAAGGAAGCTCAAAGAAGAATTTGGTTAGTGTATATTTGCAAGGCTCTATATCAACTTTTACTGATATTAAATTTTATGATTGTGCTCATTCTTTTGGTTGTCATCAGGAATTGAGCCATGGACTTTTGTCCAAAAGCTGGGAGATGCTGTCTTTATACCTGCTGGTTGTGCCCATCAAGTTAGAAATTTGAAGGTTAGTAACTTACTACTAGTTTCTAGATTCTTTCACTGCATTAAATTGCTTTATCTGAAGTTGGCGACTCGTTAAAGGTAATTTTTATGCAAAATTTATTTTGTATATTTTAACTTGGGAATGCATCTGCTTAAAAATCATCTCATAAGTTGTAGGGGTGTTCAGTCAGACTGTTTAATTTTTCCAAATGCTTTTTAGGACACCTGTACATAGGAGTAACCTTATCAACTCCAAGACTTGCCTGTGGTAACTTGAGTATGGTAGATATAAGACATTTAGATCAATTGTGCTTGTTGGGAACTTGGGGTTATTCAAGATCCTAAGGGGTTGTCTTCTTGCCTTATCCATATAGATTAGTAAATTTTTACTTGGCAATCATTGTTAGATGATTGATTCAAAAGTCAGTTAGCTACTTTGTTTCCAGTTTTCCAGTTTAATGGTTGTTGGTGGGTCTTGAGGCTTTAGTTAGTGGTCAATAAGTGATAAGAGTTAATTTGTTCTGATTAACAAGCTTGTGGTTACTTAGTTATTGGAGTAAGCCTTCATTTTGAAACATTTCAGGAAGCAAGTCAAGAGCTAGTTTTGCCTTGTAGGAAACCCGAATTTACAACGTCAAATCCAGTAGTATCCTAGATCTAGTCCATCTCACCTTTTGAACTTCTAGATTTTGTTTATTATGTAAATTATAAGAAGATAAGTTACTCAAAAGTTTATCTAGTTGACTATTTGGTCTAGATTTGTTTTTTCTTCCTAGAATAAAATAGCTCCATTGTAATCCTGATCATCAGCCCTTTTCATAAATTCTTCATGGTACCATAGATTCTCTATTCTTCAAAGTCATCCTAAGATTAATGACTAAGTATGTCAGATCATCCTTTGTTAGTGAAGAGCAACACACATAATATCCTTGGCTTCTTGCTTTTGAATTCAATCATTGAACATCAAACAAACATCGAAGGCTCGGCTTTAGGTGCAACAAGGCAGCCTGTTTGACTATATTGTGGAGTCCGAAACATCCATTGGAACTTCTGCAACATTTCATCAACCATCAGGTAATTGTCTTTGGAAACTACATGGTAAAGCCTAAACTTGACAATTGTTGAGGTGAACTCATAAAGACAAGCTATTTAATAGGAACAAATGGGGGCTTTGCAAGAATGGTTCAAACAACAATCTAAAGGGAGATTGTTGTTGATGGGATGCTATCCGAATTAGTTCGTTTATCATCTCAAAGCAAGTTACCCTCAACTTTGTTCATTATGCTGCTAGCCTCACCTCTAACTTAGGGGCTGTTTGGTAACCTCTGAATGAAACCATCCGGTGCGTTTGCGTTTGCGTTTGGTTCAATTAGAAGCCAGACTTGAATCAAAAACCTTTGAAGTCGGTATTCGTTGTGTTTGTGTTTTGTTCAATCGTTGAACGAATCAGAACGGCCTTTGAACGGTTAAGCAATCTTACCTTATCTTAAATATTAAGAGGTTGGAACCATTCAGTTCAGCATTCGACGCGATTTACCAAACAACCCCTTAGTGTCCATCATCACGCCTTAGAATGATTCAATTGTATCACTAAATCGCGTCCTACTTTGTATAAATTTCAGGACTTGCACTTGGGAAGGGTGATTGGCAATGCTAAAGTGTGGAAATTTCTTGTGTTCGGAGATAGAATTTATGAAAAAGCACCAAGGGACTCAATTAGTGCAATTGGCACTTCCAACCAAAATAAAGATGAGATTCGTCTTTGGCAACTCGATTAGTGCAATTTGCAACTTCATGCCCCATTTAACCATACAAAAAAATCCCATCCATTCTACATGATTCATAGCGATGTGGGTCCATCTAGTATAAAAACCATTTCATGGTTTAGTTGGTTTGTTACCTTGATTAAAAAAATCCCATTTGTTCTCAAAGTGATTTTCCAGCCGTCCGTTCTATTAAGTTTTTTTAACCATTTTACTCTCAAAATCAGTTTTTGGCTTCTAAACAAGAAATAAAGTACACTTATATCTTTCAAATGGCATCGACCTCATTCATGTTCATTGGATTTTCAATGATTTTATATGATTTTTACAAAACAACATATTACACAATTTTATGTGAAATCCTAAATCCGGTCTGGTTTTTTCAGTGGAATCAGGATACCCAAAATCTTAGAACCGAGAATCATCTTATTTACTAAAAATCCAAAGGTCCATATGCTCATGCCTAATTAGCACATTGCTTCTGACTTCCATGCTTAATATAACCTAGATAATGAGGGTGTTTGGGATTTCATCTGAAGACAACTTATTGACTTATTGACTTTTCGAAAAGTTAATAAGTCAAAAAATGTTTGGCAAAAAGAAAAGGACTTATAGTAACATCTCTTTACCCACCACAAAAACTAATCTAAACACTTTTTTTTAAACTTCTTTTCCTACCACCGTAAGTCATTTTGTCTAAAAGTCATTTTGAGGATCAAACTGAAATCCCAAACACCCTCAAAGAATGAATTACCGAAAACTAAATTCACGGAAGTTGTAGATAATTGTGTCCTCGTTTTTGATCATTTTGAATTACCTTAATCGGAGCTGTTGTGGGGAGTCGGATATGATTAAAATACTCTAGCATGGTCATCTGTCTAACATCATCTATGTTTCTTTGTTTGTATGGGTTGCTTTTGGAATTTCATCAATTTTTGTCTAACTTGTAATGGTCGATGATTGATCAAAGTACATTGCTCTTAGCATGCAGTGTGGTGCGGTTTGAACTGTGGTTTTGCCGTTGAAAACCGCAAACTCCACCATATAGTGTAGTTTAAGAAAATTACAAAACAAGCTAATTGCTACTTATGATGTAATACATCTACTTCTCCATCAAGGTCATCATCCACTTCGAATTCTTCCTCATCTCTAAGCTTTTTATCATCGTTTATATGATGCTCCCTTGTGCTACTAGTAATTGTCCAATTCTTGATTACATCCTATTTCTTCTTTCACATCTGACTAGAGGAGACCATCACTTGCATGCTCGGTTTTACGATTTCTACATATTAAAGAGAGGATTGACGTTGACATGGTATTATATATAGATAAGGGAAAAACCAAATGGTCCAAAGTCGAAAATTTCATTTGAAAAAATAATAATGATAGCACCAAAATAATGCTACAAACATTTGGATGGAGAAGCAAGTGGATAATCATTAATGGTGATCAAACTAGAGGAGGAAGTACTTTTGATGTTGAACGTAGTATTTTGACTAGTCCTAACGAAGAGGAAACTAATAATGTCGATATAGACTTACGAATAATAAGTGAAGAAGCATAAATATACAACATTGAGTATAGACTTATGAATAATAAGTGAAGATGCATGAACATACAACATTGAGGATTGAATGTCACATATTTTGATGACCGAAAGTTATCTTTATAGTTTGCAATTGTAAGTTAATAATTTATTGTTGGGCTATATAAAAATGTTTATAAGCATGATTAAATAAATTCATTTTGATCCATGTCAATAAAAAAAGATTGAAGAATATTTTTGGAAAAATTAGACTGTTTACCGAAACTGTTCTAGATGCATCTCTAGATACAACCATCATGATAGTCCTACGAGCTCGACGGAGACTAGCTGAATTACCTTAGATGTAAAGGTGTTGGTTTTGGCAAACTCTAAGGGAGGAGGGAGTCATTCCCTTCCAACCCACTCAACCTACTTCCATATTAGTTTTTTTCTCTCTTTTTTCTTCATCTTTCTCAACCCACGACACATGAAAATCCTATCTTTTTCAACTCACTCAATTAAAAAAAATATCCAAAACAACTGAGGTACAAGTCTTAAAACACATGGTACAAGAGAAAATGAGAGAGAGAAAGTAGAGAGAGATGATGAAACGGGTTAGTGAAACCAATTAAACAACCTACCACTCTCAACTCTCCCAACCCACTGAAGAGGGAGTGGTATCTTGGAGATACCTACGGTAGCTCTATTGCTAATTAAGACTTGTATCTTAGTTTTTTTTGTATTTTTTTAATTGAGTCAGTTGAAAAATATAGGGTTTTCATGTGTTTTGGGTTGGAAAAGATGAAAAAAAAAAACTGATGTGGTAGTGGGTTGGGAGGGAATGACTCCCTCCTCCCTAATATGATTGACGCAGAGAGACAAGGTTTAAGACACCATCACTTAATATTCTAATACAATGAGATTGAAAATGAATCAACATATCCCATGATCCCATAGCAATGGGGTAAGGGGAGATAGATGTAGGAAGTCATGCCTCCACATGAGGTAGAATTGCTGCTTTCACATAAAGACTTCTCACATAAGAGAAACACAAACCTGCCATGGTACAAACACACACTAAGAGTAAGACGATGCAAGCACTAAACATTGGTATGAAACTAAAGCTAATGCAAGTAATGGAGCTTAAAACGGATATAAATAACATGACGAGAAAAATGAAAAGATGAGAAAGAAGTAGCAAGTAAATACTAAACTATGCCCTGTAAGAATAAGAAAGAAGAAAGACCAAGGCCGGTTTACCTCCACGAGCACTTCTACATATTTTAATACAAGAACCAATCTCATTTTCACCATAAACCAATTTATTTTTTATATTTTTTGATACTAGATTTTTGTGCTGAAGTTACGGGTAAAGGTCAAACAACTATCTGAGTCCTCATTGAACCTAGAGCTTGAAAAAAGCGACCCCACATGAGCCCACACCAAATATGGGTTGTGCCGGGGCTTTCAAACTGTTTAAGTTAAATAGGTCAACTTGCCTAAACGGTTTAATTAAATGGGCGGGCTGAGTTAGGGTTGTTTATTGCAACCTGATTTCAATCCATCAACCTAGATTTTAAAAGTTTGAATAAAGAAGGAACACCTTTTTTTGTAATTTTGGTTGTCTTTTTTTTTAAACATTGATCAATTATTACGGTTGTTATTTAACTTTGTGTAAGCTTTTCCTTCTTTATTCAAACTTCTAAAATCTAAGTGGGTCAAATTGTGTATGTTGGATTAAAATATAAAAAATGTTGACCTAGTTGGGTTGGGCTGGAAAATCCAAACCCATTTAATTAAACAGATTGGGATTGGGTTAGATTTTCAACTGCTTTAAATGATGCCAAGGTACCAAAGGAAAAGAGATCTACATCTCCTAGTTGCCAACATTGCCATGTACTTGTTGTCATGGTGTTTGTAAATTTTTGCCTCTTATTGGCACTTATGTATATCCATCATAGCAATGTAATTTCATCTATTTATTCATTATAGCATGTTACTCTCATTTTTCTCCATCACAAAATATTACTTATTATGTTTTTCTTAGTAAGGCATTATAATTTGAAAAAACTACCCAATTATAGTGTTGTTTTTTTGCGGGACTTGCTATAGTCTTTGATTGCTATTGGTATATTGAACTTGCTTCTAAATTTATGTGTTATAATAAGTGAATATGTTTTCTTTTTGTGCAGTCATGTATAAAAGTTGCACTGGACTTTGTTTCTCCTGAAAATGTTGGTGAATGCATTCAATTGACAGAAGATTTCCGTGTTCTTCCCCAAAATCATAGGGCTAAAGAAGATAAGTTAGAGGTAAACAATCTCTTCTTTAATTATATCTTTTGCAAATATTAGATCTTCATCAACCATCAGTATGCAAATCTTTTTTGTGTTTAGGCATTATATTTTATAAAATATACCTAATGCTGTAATATGTAAAAAAGAAAGTATGATGTCATAATAAACAAAACAATGAAAGTATATTTTGCTATTTGTTGAACTAAACCTATTTTATAAACAACATAAAAGTCAACTAGGTTTATAGTATCGTATCATTTTCAATTGAGTTGTTATAAATTATTAAAATTGTGCAATTGGTTGATACTCTTGCTGATTAATTAATTAATTAATTAATTACAGGTGAAGAAAATGGCACTTCATGCAGTGGAGGCAGCTGTGAAGGACTTGGAATATCTTGTTCCCAATAAAAGGTAAAAGGTAAAACCACCCCATATACATACCCTAACACAAAAAATACCTATTCTGTAATTTATAGTTTTATTATCAGAGATTTTGTAGTGAAATGAGGCTCATTTTTGAGAGAGAGAGAGAGATGGGTGGATGTTTGAAAATTTATGTTGCATTGTACATATGGATTTTGTTTTGTAAAGATGGATGGATTTTTGCTAAGTATATAGTTTAATGGTGCTCTTTTAGTGACCCAATGGTCAAATTGGTAATTTACCATGAAGATTATGCTTCTTCTCTCTTACTAACTACTAACTACTAAGCGTGTTTTACTTCAGTTTTGAACTAAGCATGTTGGAAGTGGTCAATCTGAGGAAGCTTTTTTCCTGTTCCCTGTTTCAAAAGTTCAAGTGTGGCTTTTTTGAGAAAAAAAAAAAAAATCAAAAAGCATGATGTAATAAGTGTTAGAATTCCATTTATAATTTTTCATCTCATAGATTTTATAGCCATGGAAATCATTCATACTTGATCTGGACATATCATTGCGCATTTGGGGCATATTAGTTGCCTCTCTTGTTAAAGACACAACTAGTGAAAAAGAATCACAAAGTTCACAACTGAACACCAAACTGAAAGGCCTGTGGAATATATTTGATGATGGTATGGCAAAGTAGCGGGTATTTTCTGGGTTAAGGTTTAAATTAGCCCTATAATTGTTGTATACTGTATTCATTTAGTCCTTTAATTTGTTTGTTTTGTGTATATTTCGTCCTTATAATCTACTAAAATTGTTGTATACTGTATTCATTTTTTACACAACTTTTACATTTTTTCTTACATTTGTTTTTACAACCTTGTTTATTTATATGTTTTTTTTTCTTGGCAATCCATTTTTACAGCTTTATTTTTTTCTTTGTCGTTACATGTTTTTTTTCAGTTTCATTTTTTTTTGGTAAATCCATGGCTCACGGGGTTTGGTAAGGAACTATGAAAAACATGTAAACACAAAGTAAAAAAAAGGAAATGAAGTTTTAAAATGCATTGTGAAAAAATATGAATTTGTAAAAATGAATTGTGAAAAAAATATAAAGTTTGTAAAAATGAATTGTGAAAAACATGTAAAATGTAAAATGATGCTCCGAAAAATGAGGTTGCAAAAAAACAAAAATTAAATAAAATAAAAAGAATAGTTTCCTTTTTGATGACGTCAAATATTTTCTTTTCGCCAATTAGTTTCCTTTTGGTAAAATGTTTTGAGTTAATAAGTAAAGTACATTGTTATTTATTAGAAAAGATAAATATGTTGTTTTTGGTTAAAATAAAAATAAAAGTGTTGTTTTTGGTTGTTGCTTTTGGTTAACAATAAAAGTATGCCACTCTTTTGTGACTAAAATAAAAGTACTAAAAAATATTATTGTTTTCGGTTAAATACAAAAATATGTTGATGTTTATTATATCTATAAAAAACAATGTTAATTTATAAACTTTGTTATCTATAATATTTTTGGTTTATTGACATGAAAGAACAATAAAGTTTTTCCTTTGGTTTTAAAAAGTCATTAAAGTAAATGTCTTATCTTTGACTCGTTAAAGTGGAAATTTACGTGTCATTTACACCCTTTTGAAAGAAGCGAAGTTGTCACCCGATAATTAACCGTGACGTCGCCTATCACCTCCATTTGTGTTTTGTTCAACCGTTGAACAAATCAAAAATCTTGAAACTATCTGCCTTTGAATAGTTAAGCAATCTTACATTATCTTAAATATTAAGAGGTTGGAACAATTCAAATGCGATTTACCTAGGCAGTTAATCAAGCGTTATAGCAGTGCTATAGCGGCGCTATAGCGTTTCGTGGAAGTGTGAGACCGTGATTTACCAAATAGCGGTTTAGAATAGCGGTGGCGCTATTAGCAGTGCTATTTGCCGCTATTTCCATAAGCGCTATTTACCGGGTTTGTTGACTTCCAATCTCAATCGAACCATATCGGGTTTGTTGGCGCGTGGCCTCAACCCAACCATCCATATGTCGATATATATATATATA